AATCGCCCCCTCGTCGGAAAAGAAAAATACATTTCTCATCGCCATGGGCAGACAGACGAAGGGTGACTGGTGACTTGAGAGACCTTGATCGGTCAAGGTTTTTTTTTCCAATGCTGGTTACGGGGCGGCACAGGATCAAAGGGGAGTTGGCTCGCTCGCAGAAAGGTGTGGGACTGGAGGGCGGGGGGGCGTAGGGCTGGTGCACGTATCCTGTTCCCCCATTCATGGATGGGGAAGAATTGAGGGCCGAGAGGAAGAGAGGGTATCAGTCCCTCTTCTTCCCCCCTCCCCTTCCCTCCCCGCCCTCCCTCTCTTTCGTCCCGCGTTGCGGATTGCGGTAGTGGATAGGGAGTCCATTTTTCAGAGAATTACTGGGAAACCCACAGACACCGTGGCGGGGGGGACGCCTCCTCTGGGATGATGAATCAGGGAAGGGACACGGATGGTCTCATTTCTAGCACTTCTGATTGCATCTTCAGAGCGCCTCTTCGAATGGGAACGACGCTTTAATGTCGTCGGGGCCCGTTCGAGGCAGCTATATCTTCACTCTCGGTTCTGGGGTGGCGGCATCTTTCTCTTCGAAACAACGTTGGCCTCGTAATAATGGTCGAAGGAGGACGTATGTAGATATGTACCCTAGATAACTCCTGGTGGAAATAATTATTTTTGCTTAATAGAAAGTTTCATCTCCTCCGCAGCTAAGTAGGAAGTTGCGGCTAGAAAGGAGCTGGAGTTACATGAAACAAGGGAACCTCTAGTCATTTTCCGAAGTATTGGGTTGGAAAACGTCTCGAAATACTATAATTTTGGTTGAAGAATCTGCAGTAGCAGTGGAGTGTATCTGCTTTGCTTCACGTCAATCCACATCTGAACTCCCTTTTCCTCTTTGTTTTTGCAACGTCTGCGATATCCTGCCATTGAAAACGCGGATGGGATTTTCAAGTATTATTGCTGTGTAATTGTGTAATGGAGCGCATGGAACGTCAAGCCAAGAAGGGGAACTTGAAGTATGGTGCTTCATATAGGGAACGAAATGTTCATTCTCTTCCACGGGAAGTGCGAATTCTAACGGCTCCAGGACTTTTATGATGACGAATGTCCAGTTTTACCCCCTCACTTGAATCACGATTATGGGATATGCGCAGTGAAAAAATCACTCAAGCGGAGGGAAGAACTGAATCAGCACCGGATCATCTTCCGAAAACTTTTGAGCTGTAACAATGGATTCCGACTCGTCTTGTCCCGTTAAGCTGCTCTTTCGGGACCCCGTGATGTTGCAACGTGATGTGGAGAGGAATTAGTTCATCTGCTGTCGGTTGTCATCTGTGCGGTCCATTCGAATATTTCCGAACGTCAGCGCTAAGTCAGCGTTGAAAATGCCTTTGAAAACCACAACTTGTAACGTTAGCAAATAGGGTCATTGGCAAACAGGGTACAGCGGTATTCACGGTTGCGGTACGAGATATGCATGACAGCATTGAAGCCGATGACGTACAGCTCGAGCCCTCGTTTTTCAAAATAACTTCTGAGACAGAGTGGCATCTTCTTATGCAAGCGACCTTCAAGCTTCTTGTGACCTACTGACAGCGTACGTCGTGGCATTCATGGGTGTCTGTACGAGTGATCCACACTTCGCATGCGTCACAATTACTAACAGTTATGGTGTCAGGCGCTGAAAAGGCAGCTTCGTCTTTCTGATGATGAACCGTATGAACCGTGCACTAACACTGGATAGCCAGACTGGGGTAATTCTTACAGAGTTAATATTTTTTTTAAATCATATTTTTTTTGTTGTTTCTCCCAGTGCAAAGATTACCAACAATGGATTTCTAGATGTAGCTGTACTAACCCCCGCAGCCCATATATCATAGCGCTTGTTAAGGCGAGAAATTGCAACGGAACACGGGGACGGGCGGAGCCTTTGGTATATGTGAGCAGAGGGAAATGGTTAGCGGTTCACGCCAACGATTGGTTATGGTTTGTCGGGGGAGGGAGTTTTCTGATCTGATGTCAGATTTCATTGTTTCCTGTCCAAAACTCGAGGAAATCTGTTGAGAAGTTGACTCTCGNGTTATCTCTTAGCATGGGAAGTGGCATCCGTGCAAGCCATAACAACTTCCACGTCGCTTATCGTAGCGCAAGCCCGCAATAAATTTTAAGGGAAGGTATGCTGTTCTCCCTTGTACACGTACACTCCCCGCACACGCCCCACACTCTCCCCATACTCCCCCACGTCCCTTTCCATGAATATGGAATGTTCACGAGATCTGTTTGCTGACTGGAGGGATTTCTCCGCTTTTCTGTGTTTCAGCTCAAACTTGCTTTCAACGATGACGCTACAACGACGTTCGAGTATCCTTCAGAGCAGTCGATGTTGGAGGACCACGACGCTTTGGATTCGAGTGCCATCTCGGGGAGGAGCGGGGAAGCTGGGTTGGGTCTCGGGAAATCCTCCGCCTTGCACGGTCTGTTGAGTCTGTCCTCTCTCTCTCCTTCCTTAACTTGTCAAAAATATTTTTTTTCTGTCTCCCCAGGCCTATCTTTTTACTGTATGTGCATCGTAGCATATGTTGCCCCCGTGGTGGAAAGGGATGGCAGGTTGTCGCGGGTGGCTGTCATGACTTATTCATGGTAGGCGGACTCTCGTGTTTGGGACTCTTACGCCACTCCAAGCAGGCGAAACTCTTGCTCTTTAGTCGTTATTCCAAGCAGGCGAAATTCTATACTTGGTAGCCCATGCACATACACTATTAGATCGTCCCAGTGGGATTGCTTTGGTTGGGATCTCGTTCCGCTTTCCGTTTTTTTCTCTCTCTTATCCCCGTATTCAGAACTTTCATCTCCTCATTCACTGATTGCAGAAAGAGTGAGAAACGAGTGAAAGTGACACAAGCGACTGGGAAAAGAATGACTAATTTGTTGCTTGGCTGGCCGAGACGGGCTTGAGACGCTATCTGACGGTCAGGGGGCGGAAATTATGTCGCAATTTTGTTCCCAGCGATTTTTCACAAATCCCTACGAATACGGGAGGAAGTAATGAATGTACTTCCTTCAAGACTTATTTCTTCAAGGCAACAAGCTGAGATTTCTGAATTCTGCGGCTGCAGTGCATCACCTCGTGCGTCGCGGCGACTCATTAAGGCAGTGGAAAAACCGCGTCCACACCCCCAGATGGAAGAGGATTCGCGCTTGGGTAACCTGGGAAAGGAAAGTTGGGTGTGATGTAGTGGATGCTGGCCGGCGTTTCGTCTCTCCATTGTCAACTTGCTTTCCCGAAATATGTCTTCTTTTTTTTTTTTTATTGCGAACGGCTTTCTTCTCTCTTTCGCCCGTCACGGTGTCATCTAGGCATCGAAAGTGTCAGTCGAGGAGAAAGGCCACACAATGGACTCGAAGAGGTCCGGACAGCCTGCAGAAAGGGACCTGCCATCGAAGTACGAAGAAGCCCTTTGACGAGGGAATGAATATCATCCGTCATTCATAATGAGGACTGACAGGATGGAATCCTTTTGAAATGAAAGGCTTCTGGCTGTTATTTCCTTTCCCTGAAGGGCATTGTCAGGCTCCTTTGAAGCACTCGACCTTCTTGGCGACCAGCGGAGGAAGGATTTAATGGTATACATGCGGAGAGTGTGTTAAACTTGCAGATTGCAGCGATCTTGCACCATGTCGGCTGAATTTTGTTATTTCTGAGACGGATTAATCATAATATGACTACTAATGTCACTGGGATTGAGACGAATCAAATCCATATGGAATCTCATAAAATCAAATCTCAATTATTCATGTATCGAATCCAATTTATTATTAAATTAATTATCTTCGTCGCACCTCCAAGTTTAAAATCAAATTTGCCATTGGCTTGTCATGTCCTTCATCAGATGTCAGATCAATTGACGCCTGTTAATGCTTTCGACAGAACCCCATACACCTAATAAAATCACAAAAGATGGCGAAATCGACGAATTCCATCGATTCCTATATGTGTGAAATCGGGTTACGTGCGGTTCAGGTTGTTATCCGCCACTGGTGAAATATTATCAGCAGTGTTGATTCGGTCGGCAGATGTCTCTGTGGCCTTCGTCTTGGTCTGGTCGAATCAAGCCTCCCTGGATCGTCTGGTGGACGGTTTTCTTTCTTCGTTTCCTATTTTGTCGTCAATTGCAGTCCGTTTCGATACTTTTCTCACAAAATTTTGGTTTTTTTTATAATCATCTTGTCATTGAATTGTCATAACCGTCGCAAGTTTTTCCAAGGAATATCGTAAGTTCTTATGCAGACTTGCATATGAAGATTTGCACGCAGAGCTTCTGTTCATACTGTACCTCCGCACTGTTCTCTAATGGGACCTTGACGACAGATTGCATTGGCTCACATCAGGTTTCTTTCGACAGGGTTTTCGTCAGATTCTCATAGCTACTCATTACCACTCATTTCTACTCATTTCTTCGTGAATTCCTGTCATCGGTCAACCTTGCTTCTTTGGGCGCGCCTTGAAACTAATTACGTCAGTCTGTCCAGTCCCTTTGGTATTCGTGACTTGAAGTGGTGAAACCTCGTGGCCCAAATGGCAGCCGTGGAAACGAGGATGAGCAGTTTGCAGATTACCCAATCACAGGGGCATGCTCCATGTGAAATAAGAAGAGTTATCTCAGCTGACCCTGGCATGAGATCATGCCTTGCCCAATCAAGCGATTGGCCGTATTCAGGCTCTTCTTGTCAAGTCACGGTTCGGTTCAAGGGTTTTGCTCACCTACTAGACCCCTTCATTTCCTGCAAAACGCAACTGTTGACCTACATCGCTCTCGTTTTGAAAAAAAAAAAGGCCCAAATGGTCGAGGCTTTGGACTGAGTTCTCTGCATGGTCAGCCGTGTATCTTGATTATTTTCGTTCCCACCCTCTGTCTCTTTAATGAAGGCAGTGTCACCGCGCGAGAAATGGAGTTCTGGGACATCAGATATGTGCGTGCTGGTTGGTAACTGTTTATCTGAGATGTATTTGATTCTCCAGACACGGAGTCTGTCACAGTCATTCGTTTAAATCGTGATAACGCTCTTCCTTGTTCTTGCCTTGAATCAACCAATGATTTAGCCATGGGAAAGCCACGGGGTTACCTTGAGGCCTGTTTCTCCATCCCAGAGAAACAATGACAACCCCATTATTTCCACCATCCCGTGAAGGTGGCAACTAGGGATGAACGGTCCTTGGACGGGATGGGCCACCACACCTCATCGAGCCTTGTCTTGTGTGACGTTGAGAAGTGTAACGGGGCCAGAGTCCGCGCCCAAGTCTCTCCCCATTCTCCGACTGAATGTCTCGCGTCTTGTGTCTTGCCTCCTCCATCCAGGTGTCGTGTGAAAGTGCATCGCGGCTCGGCGAGCGGGGGAGGGCAATCAGTCTTTCTGGTTATTGCCGGCCTCGGTGATGAAATCGAACCCACTTCGTTTCACTTTCCTTGCCTGGCTTTGCCTGGCCGCTTTCTCATTCCACTTCGCCTCTCTGTGCAGGTCGTCGGTTGTGTGCATATTGTATCGTTTTCGTGAGCTGAAACAGGGTGTGCGTCTTCTGCAGCATGTCTGACGTTCTTGAACTCCCCATCATATGTAGGAGCCCTTCCAGTAAGTCACGAAAGGGTACCAGTTATCGACCGTAACAGTCGTCGCGTATACTAGTTGCGTTTTTCTCGATTCCATTTTGACAGTTGCGATGAACCCCTGTTAATATTGTGACAAACAAATTGTAACTTTACAAGTCCACTGTCACTTTATCATTTCAGTGTCTTTAACACCGGAGGAAGACTTTGAGAATGGGGAAGTGGGATTCACCTTATCAGCTACGGGACTCCCATTCTATTAAGTACTTGTTCTTTCGACTTCTGGTTATTGTCACGTAGACAGCGTATCTCACTGGTGGTAGATTTTAGTACAGAATGCAGATCCACCCTTGCTTGTGCACTGGTTACAGAACTGCGGTAATTGTTGCATCTGTCGAAAGACACTGGGCGCACGCGGTGTCCAAGGATTAGAATGTCGCGTCAGTTGTCACATGGATTTACTTTGAAAACCACTCGGGAGTGGAAATCATCTTGACTGGGAATGAGGTAGCACTCAATGGCTGTATTGGCATTGGCACCGTTCATTATAGTCCCATTCACCTCGCTGGAGGTCTCTGGCATTTCCCCATCCTCATAGAAGATCCTTGAGCCGCTTTATCCCTCAATATGTGCTATGGATATTAATGAGTCCTCCATTTCCATTTCCCCGTAGGCGGTCTAGCAAGTTACACGCCGAGCAAGATCCAGATCGGAACGGCATTCGAGCTGGGAGTGTCCCGGACCACGCCGACGTCGTCGTCGGGCGCGAACAAGTCAGGGAAAAAGGAGCCAGAACCCCCCGTCGAAGACTTCCTGAAGGAAACTCCGACTGGGGAAGCGTACAGCCAAGCCGGGACCACTTCCGACCTGCTCTTCTGAGCCCGTCTGTGACATTCCCTTGAATTCTTTTACCTGGTCTGGTCGTTGGACAGAGGGAACGTCGTTTCCTGTCTTCCGTCTCCGCCCTGTATGCGAGAGGTGCGAAGAGAGCGAGCGAAAGAGAGAAACTGGGACTGAATGGACGAGAAAAAAAAAGATTTTACGCTTTCCAGGGAATCTGTGATTTGTGTTTGATTCGCAAAGAGTTATCAGCAAGGTTATCAGGCTTCTCTCGCTTCTCCATCCCATAGTGATCGAGTGTATGTGAGACCGAAAGTGCCCCCCTTTCCTTTCCCAGCCCATTTACCCTTTCGGGTCGAAATTAATGCACCAGAAATGTCATTATGTCCTCTAGAAGCTGTGATGTACTTTTCATGTTAGCCGTTGGAATCGGATCTAGTGCGATCGGATCGCGGCCTCTACTATTTGACCACTGAGTGCTGATCATATGCCTACCTTATCTCTTCCTCGCAAACTAAGTCACTTCATTTATTCGACGTGCACCTCGAGAGTCGAATTCGCCAGGGCCAATCCGGGCGATGTCCTTGGCCGATGAATTCGCCGAGGGCATCGAGGTGCCCCAGGGCCAGCACCCATCGGTTGAATGGAAAATAACTTCGATGCGGATTTGGAGAGCTTGAATGTTTCGAGTCGGCATGCATGGATAACCCGATGAAAAATGTGGACCTGTGAATAATTTTTGATCGCGTTCCGCCGTCTGACAGAAGAGGGAGAAGGGAATCGCGACACCGAACCCCATCTGGCCTTGCCGAGTTCTCTTAAGCACCCGCGTGTGGACTAGTGTTTGTCTTTCAAGTCCGTTTCTCGCTCTCAGGAGTCACCGAGGAGGAACGAAAAAAAAAAGGACCGAGGTGAAGAGAATATCAGTATTTATGCATGCCTGGACCTATTCCTGTCGCATTTCCACCCGATTTGAAAGTGCATTTCGTACCGTTTCCATGTATTCTAGTTTGAGAGTTTCCCCCCGCCACCCAATGAAGAATTGCAATATTTTGTTGCTATAATAAAATGGATTACATCGTGGACATGGCCCTCCGAGTACAACTCATTCATTGTTTGGACTTCCTGGTACTTGTTGCGTGAAGCACGAAGTTGGGCAACGTTATCTGTGCAGAGCGCACTGCAACAGTTATCTGTTCTCTAGGTTCGAAATATTACGCAATCGATCTTAGAGCATTCGCGGGGATGAAGTTCATCGCCACCAGCTCACGAATCGCTCGAAGCGAGTTTCGGGTGTCTTATCCCTTGATCGTGGAGATAGATCCCCGAGTATCATTTTCCCATTGTTCGTCTGATAGTTTTGTTCTCAACGTTCACTTTCATCAGATTCTCGCAATAGTTATGATGCAAGTCTCGGCGTTCCGCGATAATATCCCCCAGGACCGCACTTCGTGTCTCTGAACCCTGAAATTGTTAATACGAGAACGAAGAATCCTCACCGTGAAGCATTGCGACCTATCGCATGAAGTTAAATTAAATAAGCCTCGAGCCAGCCAGGGCTGCGATGGTAAAACACGGCCCGACCTCGTCGACCCTGAGCATCCGGGCATCGTTACCCCAGATGGCGGCCTGTTTGACGATGCATGACGATGTTGGTGGATGACCTCATGGGCAAATATTTTTTTTTAATTGCTCACGCAAAGACATGACACTCTTTCGAGTCTCGTTTTAATTATTTGGAATAGCGAACCACCGAGCAGAAAGATGGCATCTCAGAGACGATATCGGGCTAACCCGTGGTGTAAGGGAAAGGGCATAAGGCTTCGCGTTCGCTATGGGGACTCGGCTGTGGGAGGCTGTGGGGAGGCCTTCATCAGTGGTGGAGAGTGGGGAAAATTGTTGTGCGGAGACGTCGCGATTTTTCAGCGAAATCGATACTGGATGCTGCATTAACGGGTTCCCCCGTTTTCAAGGTCCGATAACTGCGAGGAGACGTCGCCTTTCGTTCCAAGATATTTTTATCTGCTCCCGAAAGCGAAACGCGGGAATGCGATTGCAGGCCTCGACGAGCAAAAAGACCAGCAGCATTTCGCGCGTTCAATGTCCGCTCTCGGCGGAGCTACTCCGCGAAACTCGCACGGTGCGTGCGTTGATAATGGTTCCAATGGACCCTGGAGATTCCATCAAAATGTTAATTTCCAGAGCAAGGCCATGAGCAATCATTCAAGAGTAACCAGAGATTGGAAATGGGCGGGGAATCCAATCACTTCGTAAGTCAGAAAAAAAAACATGAGGTAACTCTCTGTTTTCATATTCAATGCAGCTTTTGCCATTAATTGGAATTGAGGTTATCAAAACTATCTACAAGAAACTTCCAACCTTAACGAATTTCGATGGAAGAGAAGTTGGACTCGACTACCGACTCTAATCCAATTTGATTATCCTACTTCTTTATTCATGTCTTGGATTTGTCACGATGTCATTCATCATTAGCAGTTCGGGTCAGCCAAAGTTTGGTTCATGCAGGATTCGTATTAAAAAGAAAGGAGTTCCGAAAGCAATTCGCATCGGGATTCCGTCCATCGAAAGGGTGCGAGGCCGGAATCCATTCATGAATCTCATCTGGTGCCTATCGCGTCTGCGAGACCATCATTAACCTATTTCGTTCCATCATCTTTCGATCACAGGGCTTTTCTGCGGCGAAAGTGAACGCGGCGAAAAAGGAAATGACGAACGGCCGATCGACGATGGCGAACAAATTGTCTGCAGCGGAATGTCGGCAGTCATTTGTCTGGCAAAAAAAAAAATGATTCGGAGTGAAATGTCCCGGAGCACCGAGCCCTCACTGACGGTAATACGAGCCCAGGATCCAGCCGAAGTCAGCTGGCCCTTTCTCTTCCGACGTTGACGCGGGTCGAGATTCCACGAAGTCGTCGCGCGTCAGGCTCGGTCTCGGAGGGTATGACGTCAGAGGCTGTCACGAAGATCACGAGACGTTCGGGAGAAATCACGAGAGAGAGAGAGAGAGAGATTAGCCGTCTTACCGAGAACGAAGACGTCGTTCGTCACCTGACAGTATCGTCTGGTGCATTTGCATTTCCTTCCGAGAAGTCCGATCAAGTTTTTCACCCTGTTTCGTTCACTCGTCCTTTCGATTTCGGGGCCGGAGGAGCTCTTTCAGAGAGCGACGATCACGGGACATTGCATCTCCGCAATCATCTGATTTTTCTCATTGAAAGTGTTCTGAGACCTTTAAGGATATTGTAAAAAAAAAGGCTTCCGTTTCAACACATATTCAAAGTTGTGCCCTTCCTGCAGTGCATCCAAATGTTGTAACTGTCACCACAAGAAATTCTCTGACAGGCATGAGCGAGAAGACCTGGCTTGCTTCATCCAAAAGCCGACAATTCAAAGAAAATTTTCATCCCAGAGTTTATGGGTCCATTAAAACTTTCTCATTCCTGGATCCTCCACATTAGCCCAAACATCCTCAGAATGACCCCCCCCCCCCCCCCCCTAGTAGCATATAACATTGAAACAACATTGATTCAATGTTGATTCAACATCCGGACGACGAACCAACGTTTAATGTCGATTCAATGTTAATATGCTACTAGGGCCACTACGCGCAGAAACAAAAATGGTATTACAAAATTTCCCACCCCTCGGGAGAGGGGAAGGACAGGACCACCACAGCATCTCCAAGGGGGACCCACACCCCACCCTAAATGGGAGACCCCCACCCCTCCACCCTCCCCCCATGTGCATGGACGGAACGCCCTGAATTTGAACTCGGGGATTTTCCCGAGATTTCAGGATGAGGGTGGCCTCGGGAAGCCACAAGAAGAAACGCTTCATGGAAACGGATAGGGACCTGTCGACGATGAGGGAATGGCGAACACGGAACGCTCCTCTCGATCTAGCTTTCGAGATGAACCACTTCGAAACGGTCGAGAGTGTCCCTGAATTCCTTTCGGAGCTCGAGTGGCGTTTCGAACAGTCTGCTGTGTCGAAGTGCAGCTCCTCCTTCGATTGAATCCCAAGGTCGATTGCAAAACCCATCGTCGTTTTCCTAATTCGCGTGAAGTTTCAATGGTTTTCTTCGCGTTGCGATAGGGCCAACGGTTTTAATCTCCGCTCTCGCTGGAGCTGTTTTTGCGAAACTTTCGCGGTGCCTTATACGTTTCCAAGTTATTCTCGGAATTTCTTCCAAATTAATCGCTCTGAGACAAAGCAGAGATAAAAAAAAGAAGTAGGATAATCAAATTGGATTAGAGTCGGTAGTCGAGTCCAACTTCTCTTCCATCGAAATTCGTTAAGGTTGGAAGTTTCTTGTAGATAGTTTTGAT